GCGCGCGTTCTGTCGGCCGCCGCAATGGCTGCGCCAAAAGCGTGTTTTTCTCCATGTAATCACCGTATCTCGTCGGCAAACATTTTCTCGACGATACTAATCGAATTTTTCGCGGAGCAACAAAAAATCTGACGATCGCCACGTAACTTGTTAACATTAAATTATACATTCATAATGTAAATTGTTTCAATTTATAAACCTGACTGTTTATACATTTTATGCTAATTAGAATTAATGTTAAACGCGTTGCTTTAAATCAGAGAATATGAACGATTAAAAACCAATTTTTCGAAGCAGAATGCAGAAAGAAAAAGTCTGAAACGACAATCGGCAGAGGATGAAAGACACGAGCAATCAGCGAGTCCCTACAGTCATAATCGATCGTAGTGTGAAGGACAATAAGATCTGCTAGACACTTCTAGCTGAAGGGTGGTAGAAACGTCCTACGAAGGGACGAAAGGGCGTGAAGTCGTCGGGAGGTAAAAACGGCCTCGTGGATAGCTCAATCGGCGTAAATGGAGATTGTTGGGATGAAATTGCACGAATACGGGCGCAGTCCCGTGGGATAAATAGACTATTCGTTTTCGTTGACCCTCAGGACGATTGTCTAGAGATAAACTCCGCTGAAAATCAGCGAAAGGCGCGAATAGCGTTACGTCATATGGATAATATTACATTACGGAATCTAATAATGCAATATTGCGTGATTGAAATAATTGTAATCGCATTCGGCAGGAATAATTTTCTTATATCATACGATTGTTATTTGATTACGTTCCATTTGATTTCGAGAGAGGAACAAATTTATTAAATCTATAAATTGAACAATTGTTAAAAGCAGTGAGAAAGCCAATATGTTGCAATACATCGTAATATGGCGAAAACAAAAAAACGGAAGTATGATGAACGATCACTGTAATCGTAATCCAAGCTACCTTGTTATATCGATTCGTACCTAATCTGTACGATATATTTTTTTTTTTAATCGGCTTAACGTTTGCAATACCATCGATCGGGATAATAATCAGACTTACAATGCCACGCACCAAATATATTTTTCGCATTATTCAAAATTGCCAATTTTTCAACAATTATTCCGGCTTTCATCTTCAGATCAAACGAATTTGAGTGTCCGTGGCGTGGTCATTGTATTTATCAGACCAATAAAACGGTAATTTACGGTGGATATCAGACGGTAATTCGACGAAATAATAATTTCGGATTTATCGTACCGGCGCGCGATTTTTCAGCTAATTACGTTCTAACAAACGCGCATTGAACATACTTTGTCGACTTCATTAAATCCTACGCGATCGGAGCAAGCCGAATTTGACGAGCGAGCGCGTTACAATAATTCAAAACTACGGTAATTATTTAGGACAGTTATTTTCCGTTTGATTTCAGACTGATCGGAATTTAATCTCTAAATAATGCGAAAAGGATTAATTTTTCCGCCATTGTTTGGCATTTGAATTGATTGAGCCTGTCGATACACTATTTAAAATCATTTCTCGATAAAAATTTAAAGACTGATTACAAAAAAAAAGTATATTACATAAATTGCTCGTCTCTGGACGCAATTATCAGAATTGAGGACGCTCGTGCAATCAATGACGAAACCAATCCAGCATTAATTATCGGACTTGCCGTATCCGGAGTCACGTTGTGTCGGAACCTTACGTGTACTTCGTGTAGCGATTTGTATTTCCCAGTAGAGTATGATATCGCGAGTCCGACGCTTCGATTTCTCGGATGCGCTGCAGTATGTTTCATGATGAGATAGAGAGAAAGAGAAAGAGAGGAATAGGAAGAAGGAGAAGCAGAGAGAGAGAGAGAGAGAGAGAGAGACAGAGTAATTACTTTCCGCTTTTCCATGCCGCGATGATCTCATCTCGCGCCGGCGCGAAATTGGGTCAGAATCTTCTTACGCGGGATTTGTTTACGTCGGATAATTGACCAGTAATTCGATCAACCCCGCCGCGGCATAAAGCCCATCGAAAATTTCTCGTCGTTGGAAATTCGTACGTGATATTTGATTCGCCGAGAGGCGGCCGCTAACGCGATAATCTCGCCCGACGTCGATTCCAATAACTCGCATGTCAAGCAACATAACATCACGACGAAACGTCGATGGATCGATTCTTCATCATGCGAAGGCTACCCGTTCATCATTCTGGCAGATAATACAGCTTTATTTATTAACGGCGCCCGACGGCGAAAGTATCCTTCCGCACATTGATTGGCATATCTCTTTATTGCTCGAGAGGGATCACATTAATATTTATCGTCTGTTTAACGTTCTTGCAGCGTGCTATTTGAATATCGCAATCTTTATTGACTGCCACAATTCTGATAAATAAATTCTTCACTCGGCCATAATCTTCCGCGGCGTACTTGTCGGAGGGAGTAAGAATAAATCTGTCCATCTATCTGCATTCGGCAAACTCCGCGATAGGGAATTCGCGTAAATCATGTTTGCACGGCGACAGTGGAATCGGTATGCAAAGGCCAGCTATGCGGTTCAGCGTCAGGAGCCGGAGCGCATCCGAGAGCCAGGAACGCAGGATTCAAAGCACCAGAATCGACGGTGTTTGACCCACTGTTCCCGGATGCGGTACGGCCCGTAGAATCCGCGATACGGATGGAAGCCTTCGCGCCCGACAACTATGGCGTTTCACGTCAGTCGCGCGTCATAAATTAACGAGAAACGTAACCGGCACGCGCAACATGCACACGCCGCAATGTGCACACGCGCAACGTGGCGTAATAATAATAAAACAGACGTAGAAACGAGAGAGAGAGAGAGAGAGAGAGAGAGAGAGAGAGAGAGAGAGAGAGAGAGAGAGAGAGAGAGAGAGAGAGAGAGAGAGAGAGAGACGTACGTACGTACGTACGTACGTACGTACGTACGTACGTACGTACGTACGTACGTACGTACGTACGTAGACGTACGTACGTACGTACGTAGAGTAGTAGAGAGTAGACGGAGAAGAGAGAGAGAGAGAGAGAGAGAGAGAGCTCTAAATAGCGTCTGACTCTACTCGAACGCGACTACTTGCGAGACTTCACTTTCCGCCCTTTATCGCTTCCTGTCTCTCCCATCCTTCCCGCTGGAAGATGTCCTTATCTACGGAACGCCTCGTCTTTCCCTTATCTGCTCGGATATCGCTGTAAGTTCTCGAACAAGGGACATCTTCGGGTGACCGAAACTTCCGCGGCAACTCGTATTCGTCCGGCAGGACCCACCGACCGAAGTCCTCTTGGAAACTACGAAGTGAGTTGGATAAGGATCCAGGGAAGCGAATCGGGGGGAACAGTTGTAGTGGTGGATATACCAAGACCCCGGGGAATCGAGCTGTGGCGTGCTCTTAATGAAAGAGTTTGGACGGGAATTGAAGCAGGCATTAAAATTTAAGAGGATAGCGAAACAATGCAGAGAGATATCAACGTGGCGTCAATTTTGCGTTTATTTAATAATGTGGGGAAGTTGAGAAATAATCATGACGTCCAAACTGTCAAAGTAGCATTTGACTTATTTAAAAAAATATATGGATATAAATAGATCCGCGATTCTCAAACTCGCCAGAAAATTCTGCCGTTTGCTTTCCGAGATTTTCTGGACGAAGACGATATCAAAAGATCAAACTAAAATATTTTATCGTAAAATTCTACTTGAAATATTGTAAATTTTAAGTCTCGATTGAAAAAAATTAGCCTACAATCATAATTATATAGTAATTTTCGAACAAATTATTATTTACATACATATAGAGATATCCATATGCATGTAAATTTATAACTTGCAAATAATAATTAATTCCTAGTGTTGTAATGAATCAAATTACATAAGTAAATTTACATTTACCTTATATACTGTATACGTGTATATTTGCTTTGCATCAATAGTCGGAATTGTCGAAAGAAAAGTTTGTGATTTGAAATTCACGGCGCACCGCAAGTGAGCCAGACGAACATGCAACTGTAAATTTACTTTACTGATCCGCAGATGCAATTTGTTTGATAATAGAAGAGCGAAAACAAATATGCGCAGAGTGGGCATATTCAAAATCTCTACGACAAACAGGAACACTTTCACCGGAATCGTTATTGCACCCACGCAGGTTCGTACCTTTCGAGCAATGCGTATCGACCTTACTCGAAGGATGCAAATATTTACACGTCGCTGAGTCCGCATGTCCAATTATCTCAGCTCGAGGCGTTTTATCTCGCACGCTAACTTCGCAACGATATGCAAAGCGACTCAATTAATTCCTCCGTGCGAGAAGGAAGAAGCGCCCACCCGAAGTATATACGCTCGCAAGTTGTATCTGATGCGGCATCATATATCCCACTCGCGAGGGTCTGAATTTAGATCTCAGAGCGCGCTTTGTAATTTATTCTATTACATGTGCCATTGGAAACCGCGACGGCGGTATCAGCTTACGAGTCATCCTCGTTCCTCCGTCACTGTTTCGTACACGCAAGTTACATCTGTTAAAGGACGCAGTTATTTTGCATCGCGACAAATCGTACTTTTCAACGGACGAATACGCTCTCGCGATTTCCACGCGCGAACGCAAATCTGTAGAAATTTTTATTAATTTCTTACACAGAATTTGCAATAATTAATTATCTTATCTACTATCTACAAGTTCCACTCGTAGCTTCCATTAATTACTCGAGGTACATAAATAAGAAAAATTATTCACCTATTCGCGATTGTACATTTATCAACGAAAACTTGTTCGCGCGATAGCTAGCGCGTTGAAAACTCTTGGCGGAGGAAAACGTGATTAAAACTCCTGACCGATATTTTGCTAATTACCGGCACGCCAGACACAAACGAGCCACTAATTACATGTCCCAGCGTAATGGGCGACCCTTAACCGGGCACAAAAGATTCCGAGTCCTGACCAAGTCAACCAGCGTGAAATCATTCATGATTCCTACTCTCTCGTCTCCCTTTTTCTGTCTAACCGCGATCCCGTTTTCCGTTGCAGATGACGCTACAAGTATCGTGGGTCCGGCACAGAGACGTCCATTTGCTCACGATCGGCCGTTACACATATACGAACGACCAGCGATTTCGAGCGATCCACAACGCCCACTCGGACGATTGGACGCTCCAAATCAAATACCCGCAGCATCGGGACAGCGGTATCTACGAGTGCCAGGTCTCCACGACGCCGCACATGAGTCATCTAGTCCATTTAAATGTAATCGGTGAGTTGTCATTTCACGTTTCTTATTTGCGCGTGAAAGCGAAAGCGAATACGCGGTGAATTGCACGCGTTCAAAGAGACGTAAAGCAAATTGTCATTTGCCGCCAAGTATTGCCGCTTGATTACAAGACGTCGCGCTTGCCACGCGGAATAAGATTCAGCTTCCTCTCGCGCGGCATCCCGCGATTTCCATCAAATATTAGTATGCGGGGAGCGGCGCGGGAATTCCGCCTAATTACGATGGTGTACGCAACAATTAGTTAATTCTAATCTGAATCTGCCCCAGTTACGTAGCAACTGCGCGAAATTTAAGCCAAGCTTAAATTCTGGCGGCGCGCCAATTGAACACCTGGGATTGGCTGATACCGATGTCGAGCTAAGCTCTCCGCCCTTCTCAGACACGGCTTTCCATTACCGTGAAATTATCTGAGCGGACTTAAATTTGATACGCGACACTCTTCGACTTTTTCGCTTCCGTTTATCGCCCTCGTTCCTGCGCGTCGTCAGCGCGGCAGCGGCGGTGAGATACGCTTCGACGAATGGGAGAGAGTTTACTTAAGTAATTACTCGACGATAATCGAACGCACGTACATCGGCGCGAACGCGAGCGATTCGCGTATATCATTTGCGATGCGGCACCCGATTAAATTGCAACCGGCACGCCCTCGGAACGAGGGGCGCGGAAAGAAGTTTGCCGAGCGGATCGTTTAAGGAGCAAACTTTTATACCGCGCCATATCGCACGTACGACGGTGCGCTATGAAAAACTTTTGCGATCGCTTAAACGTCAGGTCGGGAATTTATTTGCGCGCGGCGAATTGATTTAAATCGTCCCGGGGGTGGCGCGTCGTCGCGCGTGCCTTTGCCCGTGTTTTTTTCCCTCGCGATGCGTCGCTGCCGCGCTCGTCATTACGCTCGCGGTCACGTATTTTCTCCTTTAAGCCTCGCCGAAGCGAGAAGCTGCCTCTTTAAAGTTCGCCTACATTAAGACGGAGGTGAGCGAAGGGACTGAGACGCGGTCCTACTTTTCTTTTCTTCTCCTTTTCCCGCCCTCCGGCGCCCCGTTATATTCTCCGCGGAGGTGATCTCGGAGGTGAAACACACGGGACGGAACACCGGCAGGATGGTGGGCGAACGAAGGGAAGATCGTTTATCATTTCTAGCCCTGACCCTTAACGCAACGGCTGAACAAATGATCCTAAAGAGCAATGGCTATACACATCTGCTTGCTCGAAGCAGGATCGCCGCCTCGAGAGCGCATTGTATTACTTTTCTTCCGCGGTAGCGTAATTACTCATCATCAGAGCGAAAGATAGGTGTAGAGTTCGAGGGGGAGGTAAACGCGCGTGCTTGCAGTTACAACAGATACAACAAATCCAAACTTCCGCCGATAAAATCTTCTCCCCCCCCCCCCCGCGCAACCGAATATTCGCCGTCGTTTGATAAATAACGCCGCGAATCGAGCTTCGCGTTCTTCTCCATGTCGGGATTTCTTTTTCAGTTAACGCTATCATCCCCGATTCTTCCTCACATTCGTATTATTTCGCACCCTCCATGAAATTAGTGAAGGAGGCGCTCTCTTATATCGAATCGATTACTATCGGCTACATTGAAGCGATAACCAATAAATTTCACGACTTACCTCATATAATCGGATCAATAAGTTTGTACGACAATCGAGGAAGCAATTTAAACCACTTATACGCTTACAGAGTTGTAAAGTCTCATTGCGCTCTTGAAAAAAATATATGAGATGCGCTATAAATTTTAGTTTGCGGTGAGAACTGCAGTTTCGGATTTTTAAAGTTGAATCATGATAAAGCTTTATTTGGGAAAAGTCTTGCGTTCAACTTTGCCACATCTATAAATTAATTAACGCCATGCATTATTTACCGGTATTATCGGCTATAACTGCAAAATATATCTTCGTTTTAAGGAACAAAGTTTTATCTCGCGCCGTTAGCGCGATATCAAACTAATATCGCGTTTTTGCATAAAACCGCGAAGAGCCCCTATCTTGAAGTTAGGTGCGGATTATCGTTCCTTAATTATAAGCCTTGCTCTAACGGCTGAGTATTAGCCGGAGCTCCGCGTTATTAAACGCGCAAAATTTCACGATAAATATTCCGAACTAATATCAACGCGAACTGAGCGCGTGAGAAAATCGGTAAGCTGATTAGAATCGAAAACTTATGTGTCTGTCTGTCTATCCGTCTCTGCGCGGATATCGCCATTTAAATGAATACTAAACTTTCGCGGCACCAAACCATCCGCAAATATTTCCGTTTCCCGGGACACATCCCCGGCTTAAGCCCCGCGCCGGTATTTACATTCACTTACCGTCTCACCCGGGACTTTCGCGCGATGTCTTTTGCGGTGATTGTATTTATTCGCTTTCTATTTGTTCGTTGTTTTTCGAGCGCATCTGCCGCGCTGATATTCGCTATTAACATTTCTCAAAAGAGCGCCGGAAAGATCTGACTAATTGGTAGTTTTTAACGCTTCGCATTTGAAAAATATGCTCTTTCATCGTGGCACAAATGCCGCGAAACGTGATGGAGAATGCAAAACAGCGTTACCTTGCCTTCCCATCCGAGTTATACAGTCGTGTATCTCTGCGCCGAGGCACACGACGGTGATGTAACGGGCTTTATTTTTCTAAGTCAAAGCACAATAGATTCCGCGGTGCGATTTACGAGTCCGCCGCTTACATTCTTCAAGATTTCGTTTAACCATTGTAAATAAAATTGCTCGACGACTGCGGGTATTTTTCTTGTTAAAGTACCTTCGCGGCGGGGTCCAGTTTTCTCCCCTTCTTCCTTCCTTTTTTTTCGTTAGTCTTCCGTTGAAAAATTGTTTTCCAAGTTCGCGCTGCCATCGTAAAACGTCTTTATCATCGCACCTGCCTTTGAATTGCCTTTTGTTCAAACTCGTCCAACTAGTTTCGCCGATACCGATATTTCTAAAGAGCAATCTATCGATAACATTTTTAATCAATATTCAGCGGCGCAACCTTTTTAACTTGTCTTATTATTTTTAACATATTTTTCTCACGCTTCGCGCACATGCATCTGCTTCATTTTTTGTATGTTTTTCCATCGATAAATAACTGTCGAGTAAAAACGCAAACACTTAGTGCATAAAAATACAACGGGAACGATGCGCGCAAAATATTCAATTTCCCAATAAAAATATTTTTTTTTCCGACGATGTATTATTACGTGTGTATAAGCAGCTTCGGTATATCTGATGCCGCGCGTATTTTCCAATTGCCAGGAGGCTAATGGTTCCTATAACCGGCATCGCACCGACCTTTATTAACGCGTTAAGCTTGATTCATCCGGATAGACATCGTGTGGATAGCATCGCCTCATATTTCATCCCCCCCCCCCTTCGCGCCTATAAATGCTTTCTCCGCGATAATGCAGCTCGCAAATTTGCAATATCCATGCTTTCCTGTTACTTCTAATACAGACCCACGTTCCCTCTCCGTTCCGTCACTCCATTTCTGTCTTTACGAGCGCGTAAAAGCTGGTAATGATACTGTCGTGAATCGCCTGTGAACCACTTTCACACAGACTGCAATATTTCACGCTGAGGCGCACGACTCCTCGTGGCAATTAATAACGAACAGTCGTGCCGTCGAGATCATATCGTGGAACATTTACATTAGAACTGCCATACGTATGCAATGTTTCTAAAATTGCTTCTGTGATAAAAACAATCGTTGCGTGTGAAACAGGATTGTTTTAATTCTAATTCTAGTATAATTCAAAACGGGAATTGCAAATGACATTAGAGAACTTTTATACTTTTTGTGAATTTATATCTTTTACGCTTCATCATCCGCGCTTTTAATCCTTATTGCTCTTTTTTCTTATTGTTTGTTCATTAAATCACCAACTAGTTGCACTTTATTTATATTTATTTCAATATTCAATCGAGCCTTCTCGTAAATCTAATAATTCGTGCGCATCGATTATCTTTGATTGCTCAAATCAGTTTTTTTTCTTTGATTTCTTCCTGAATTCGCTGGTCTTTTCGGAACCCGTCTGCTTTCTTCTTTTCTAATTCTGTTTTCTTTCTATTTCTCCTCCTTCTCTGTTTTTCCCTTTTTTTTTTGTGTCCAAACATTACAATATATCGTTGCAAAAGTTACAATACCACATGCAACGCAATCACTTTAATTTACTCATGAGAAAAGTTCTGAAATTGCATTTTTCCGTAAAGCGAAAGCCCGTAACGTACAGTTTCGCGAACGAGAGAAATTATCGCGGAAACGGTAATCATCGTAGTATAACGATTGCAGTCTAAAAGCAATTTTTTCATTAGTCGCGAGTGCCTCTTATCGGATATAATTTGCGATGTTGGAGAAGTATTTGCGGAGAAAAGTGTCAGATTCTCGCGGTGAAGTGCACTCCGCTCTATTTTAAGTGGAACGTAGGACCGAAT